TCAAAAAAAGATGGCGGCGCCCAGTTGATGCCGGTACCGGGCCGCGGCGCCCAGCTGATGCTGGTACCGGGCCGCGCCGTCAAAAAGGTTGGGGATCCCTGCACTAGATGACATCGCAAGGGCTCGCTGCCTTAGAAGAGTGAGGAAAATCCTCAGGCAAGACTCACGTCCCGGTCAGCACTTCTTCACCCTCCTACCATCAGGTAGGTGATATAGAAGCATAGCCAGCCGCACCAACAGGCTGAAGAAACAGTTTCTACCCGTGGGCTGTCAGACTTCTGAACGGTAAATAACTTCATGTCAACATAGTGTGACAGATTTGCAGAGCCAGGCGTGTTGTGCAACAAGGTCACATAGCGTAATAAGATTGGGACTGGGTTAGGGACTTCTGTCTTCACTGTGAGTTGTGTTGTGTGGGGGTGCACGAAGGGAGGCTCAGTCAATCTCATTGTACACGTGTTGTACTCTGACAAGAAAGGTAATAATAAGGACAGTACTCAGAACTCAATGAGGGACTTCTAGATGCTGCTACTCACCACACGACATCCCTTCCAAAGTTCAAATGAACAGATTTTGAACACAAATAAACAAGTGTTCTTAAGTTTAACCAATCTCTGTTGTTGTATTTTGCCTCCTAGCTCGGAATCCATCTCCACTTCTCATGGCTCCTTTGCAAAATGAGAGTTGTAATGAGTCCACCAAGGAACAGTTGGAGGTAGGAATGCAACAACTTGTCTTCCTAGCTGAGCTTCTACTCCTTCTACGGCCAGATGGAGAGACCTGTGTTAAAATCCGTAATTGTGTTGACACGGCCCTTAGCTATTTTTCAGAGGCTGAAGAGAAGGTAGCATCTCAACTGCTGCTGGCTGATTCTCAATCTGAGGCCCTGATAACAGTGAAGAAACTCATGCAAGATGATCTGAGGGAGAAGCAGAAGAAGTTGGTGGATTTGAAAGCCCAGATTGTTGCCCTTCAAGAAGCTGAGAAGAAATCAGTGGGAATGTTGCAAACTGCCGAGTTGCATCTGGAAAACACAAAGGAGAAGCTCACATTAGCTCATGAAGAAATGGAAAATAAACGTGAGGGACGAGATATTGGTATGCACTTGATGATCCTTCCAGCACTTGGGACACTCATTGGTAAGTCAGTTAATTCCCAAACCAATAGATTTTAAATCTGAAGGGATTCCTTTAGAACAAGGGTCTTCAAACTTGGCAAGTTTAAGACTCGTGGATGTCAACCCCCAGAATTCCTGAGCTAACATGACTGGAGGAGGAATTCTGGAATTGAAGTCCACAAGTCTTAAAGCTGTCAAGTTTGAAGAACCCTGCTTTAAAACTATAACTTCTTTCTCTGCAGAGATTTATAGCACATCTGTTTTCCCTCAAGTAAAATTGAGATACTGTCTTCATTACTGTTAGCTTAAGGCAACATTAGTTAGATGATAAAAAAATATTGTTAATCATTCATTACTATATCCCTTCAATTAAATGTAGATTGACTCGCAGCCTGTACCCGGGAGAACATAGTTTCTGGAATTTTCTTAAGACCTGGTTTTATTCCCAAGCCTGGGGTTAGAGTGCTACAGAGCGCCTGGTGAATTTTCATGTATTGGGGAGTGTTGTTTTAGACTGGGCAATTATGTGTTGTTTAAAAATGTTTTTTTAATCTGTGCATTGGACGTATACACCACCCAGTCTTCTTGGAGTCGGGCAACCTTAACAAATCCAATACAAAAATTAGCACATATGATTAAAGATTAATATAAAACATAATAGTATATAATACATTTGTATAGTATATAGTAACAGGCTTTGGTAGAGTGGTGAAAGTTCTGGCCTCGAAACCAGGAGACTGAGTTCTAGTCTCACTTTAGGTAGGAAAATCAGCAGAGTATTTCCAAGTCAGTCACTCCCTCTCAGGACTGTTGTTGTGGGGAAAATAGGAGAAAGAAGAAAGTGTATTGTGTATGTTTGATTGTTTATAAAGTAATACAATAAAAGTTGCATAAAAACCTAATTATTGTGTTATATATAGACGATCCAACTACAGCAGGTGGAGGAAAATGCCATACTTTGAAAATAAACTTTGACATTCATATGGGATTTGGATATAAAACTGTGGTTCATGGCAGATATTCTGAAGAATAATGAAAGAGGATGCCTTTGGTACATACCTTAGATCACGAATGTATCTTTTTACGAAAAAACATAGCTGAACGAAGGGAAAAGGGGGGAGTGAAATTTTGATTCAGATTATTTGATTCAGAATACAATTATTTATTTGATTCAGAGTACAATGATTTCAGCGGATTCAAAACGATTTTTTTAAAAAAACCTTTTGATTCCTCTGGCTACCTATATAGACTTGGACACAACACAATCTGTACAGCACCCTATAAAACAGAGTCCCTAACAAGCAATTGATTATTAATGTGATAATTGGTGACTAACCAGTTTTAGTACTGACACAATGCCTCCGGTCCTTTCAGACAAAACTCCCTCCAAACGTTTCTTAGTTCAGTAGCTGAATTTGGAGGGATTTTTTTTTTATCGCTGTTCTTCTGGTTGGAAAACAATTGTGAGTCAAAATCCATATCACCAAGTTATCTTTCCTTCTAGGTCAGGGGCGGGCAAACATTTTGGCTTGGGGGCCTCATTGACTTTTAAAATTGGACAGACGGGCCGCCACCTGGTGTCGAAATGCCTGTCATTACAAGTCAAAATCAAATGAATGCAATCATTCAATCATTCACATCAAACCTTAATTCTGTACCAATCTTCGGCGGGCCGGATTAAAAAGACCAACGGGCCGGATGTGGCCCGCGGGCCATAGTTTGCCCACCTCTGTTCTAGGTGCTAGCGTGTTCATTGGTTATCAAATAGCCCTGGAGTCAGCTGAAAATCTAGTCACCGAAGCTCAACGAGCGGTAGAAGAATATGCAGCAGAAGTGGTTGGTTACCATGATAAGTTCATACACTTCTCCCAAAAGGAACAGGAATTACAAGATGGGATAAACGCCATGAATCAGAAGATCATCCAGACCCAAATCCAATGTGATGAGCTGCTTGCTTTCCAAGGGGATGTTCTAATGAAGCAATCTTGGATCAGAAAATGCCTTGCGCTGCTGGATGTACTGGCAGGCAAGGTTCATGTAGCTGCAGTCATGTCTCACCATGCTTGTTTCCCTGAGCTGCTGGTGGACATCTTAGGAGATATTGCACAAGTGATGGGTGAGAAGGGTGGGGAAGCATTCCTTGAGAATCAGAAAATCCAGGATTCAGTTCTGGAAATAAAGAAAGCAGTGAAGACTCTGAAAAGCAGAGTAGGAAAGAGCACATTGCAAGATTATTAATGTTTCCATGCCCTCCTTCCTGCTTTCATTAACATGACTGGGTAGAGGTGGTCCTCAACTTATCACCACTTGCTTAACAGCTAAACTCATGATCGATCCCCCCCAAAACTACTTATGACCCAGATTCGAAGTTCTGATGGCTGCCCCTCCCCTCAGTCAAATGACTCCATTTTAAGCTCTCAGCAATCCGCCCACATTTGTGGCTATTTGCAATATCCTGCGGTCCCGTGAACATGTTTTACAGCGATTTTACCAGAAACCAGCATTTCCTTTCACAAAACTGGCCCAGAGTAAACCATTGGGCAGGTTCCATTATAGTAATAGCATTTAGACTTGTATACCATTTCACAATGATTTACAGTCATCTCTAAGCAGTTTACAGAGTCAGCCTATTGCTTCCAGCAATCTGGATCCTCATTTAACCAACCTCGGAAGGATGGAAGGCTGAGTCAATCTTGAGCTGGTCAGGATCGAACTGCTGTCAGTTGGCAGAGTTAGCCTTCAATACTACATTCTAACTACTGTGTCCCCATGGCTCTGATTGGTCATAACTCAAGGATTACCTGTGTTCATTCTATTTACAAGTTTCTTATAGAGTGCCAATATGGAACTAAACATTGAAATGACCTACAAATTTTGTATGCATTCTGCTGGCATTGCTTTTCTCACCTATTTGCTTTGTAGCCATGTTGAAATACAACTTCAAGATAGGTTATCCATGAATGAATATTTTTCTAGCAGGTGCTTCCAAGATTAGATTTTTATTATACAAATATCCTCTTTATCACGGAGGTAGATGCTACAGTCTTCAGTTTGGAAACCTCTTGTGTTTCCTGGCCACTTGTGCCTTTTTTTCTTCCAAGAAAATACTTCTTTTCAGGCAAGAAATGTAGAACAAATGCAGAGTGTCTTTGTATTCCCACCCATGTTCTAATTCACTTTCCCTAATCTCCTTTCTGACTTAGCGTTTTTGGAAATACAAGTCCAACACTTCTGAACTTCCAGATGGGGAAGTCCATTGTAATAAAAATTGTATAGTTTGTACTTTTGATAACCCAAATGTGACTGAATGCTTGCATTTACTGGTTTATTTGCATTCCTCTGAACACTGAAAAGCAGTTTTCGTATATTTGTTGAAGCCTGCTTGCACAACAATAAATATGTTGGTTTTTAAAATGTCAAGGCTATTTGATGGAAATACTGAGGCTTTGAAAAATGCCAGATTTTCAATGACAAGCTCCCTCTTGCTTTATGAACATATATCCCTCTGCCACACCTTAACCTATCGACCCAAGTATCTTTTAGATGCAACTTCAACATTCCTTCAAGAGAGGAACAGTCCCATATTTGGAAAAATATCAGGTAATTTGACAGGTGACTAAAAGTGCCATCCCAGGCTCCTTTCACTAAGTCCCAACACCCATAAAACAGTATTTTTTTCCCCTCAGCAGATAAAACAGTACCTGCTAGGAGGAAAGAGAAAAGAGGTTCTCCATCAATAGCTTTAACTTGGTGTGTTTCAAACTTGGCAACTTTAAAATGTGTGGTCTTCAGCTCCAAGAATTCCCCAGCTTAAAGCTGCCAACTTTGAAAAACATTACTTTGTCATTCTCTGAATGAATAGCAACACCAGCAACCCTTAAAGGGAAAGGTGACTACAGAGGAGCATGGTTTGGAAATAAAAGATGGTTCATGTTGTTTATTCAGTTTATTAGATAAACTTCTTGATCATCCATGCAATGCTTGATGACACAAACCATTTAAGAGAGAAAAATATGTTCAATTTGGCTGGCATACTTTTCTTCTAGCTAAAGGAGGAAGGCATATTACAGACACTGACTATTTAAAGTGAAAAAAATGGGCATTCTGGATTTTGGAGCAAAAATGGGCATTCTGGAGTTTGTTGACCTCAAATGCTAAAGAGGATCTTACTTACATTATAATGAATCCCTTTTATCAAACTTCACATTGCTTTCATTGAATGATACTGAACAAAATTGCTGATTAAACGTTAAATGTCATAATGGATGAATAACTCAGATTCTTAGCAACAAAACTGTAATAAGTCATGTGCTATTTATTGCAGTATTACCAATATGACTGTTGTCAATGCTGGGCATCCCAGCCAGGTGATAGAAAGCAGAATTACAACACAACAATAATGAAAGTCAAAGAAGCGATAAAATGCATTTCAGGAATGATATTTTCTCCTTTTGCAAAACTCTTCCACCCACAGCTGTGCTTTTTCCTAATGAAAGCAAGCAAACTGAAGAGTCCACTGAGATTAGAAGTAGATTACAACTAGACAAACTAGATTTGGAATCCTCCTGTTCCCCCGATTAGTTTCTGGTTAGTCTTTTAAAAAAGTATTGTTTCTCAAACTTGGTAACTTTAAGACTTGCGGACTTCAACTCCCAGAATTCCCCACAGAGCCATGCTACCTCAGGATTTTTGGGAGTTGAAGTCCACACGAATTAAAGTTGTCAAGGATGAGAACTACATTTTTAAGAGAATAAGCCACACTTCCTTTTCTCTTAATTCACCGTTTTGGATCAGAACCATGGAAGCGGCCGTTTAAATATAAGTGTGCTGGCTGGAGTGTATATTTAGCTCAGAAATTAGGTGCTATCTCTTTAAGGCATTGCCTGCTGGGAAATGTAGTTCTTTATCACGTGGTTACATCTGTACCTCTGATTGACCACTGGGTCAGTCTTTTGATTGGCTGAGGAGCAGCCTCGATTACGAGTAAGCAAGCGAGGCTTACTTGAATTCCAACTCACCGATGGCTGCACGTTTCTCCATGTGGGGATGAAATCATTCTCTTTTTACCTACATGACTAAGATCAGAGTATTGATGCCTTCAGAAGAATCTTATCGTTTGAGTCATATCTACGAGAAGGATGCCTGAAATAAATCTAATTTGGATAATATCTTTCATGTTAAACCAGGGGTCTTCAAACTTGACAGCTTTAAGACTTGTGGACTTCAACTCCCATAATTCCTCCTCCAGTCATGTTAGCTCAGGAATTCTGGGAGCTGAAGTCCACAAGTCTTAAACTTGCCAAGTTTGAAGGCCCTTGGGTTAAACTGTCACGAGAAGTATGCAAGCAGAAGCAGAAACTTGGAGCAGAATAATAAGGTTCTCTTATTGGACGGGATCTATTCGTTTCACCCATCCCCGCCTATTTTAGTGCCCTTATATTTGCTCTCCGTTTTCATTGGCTTAGCACTCGCAGATAGGCGGAGCTACTGCTTCCTCTCTTGGCAACCGAAGCTTTCCTCCCCTCCCCCCCCGCCTCCAAATTCCAATCCGGCCCGCGGCACTATGCGCATGAGCAATTTGAGACCCTCGTCTGTTGACCGAACGTTAGAGACCGTTTGGTGAAGATTCGAAAGGGGCGGGGAGCGGGGGGGACGGACGGACGAGGAACTAACCAATGAAAAGACGGGAGGATCTGAGCAACCGGAGTTCCAGCACCTCACAGCCAATCAGAACACTCGCGCGTGCTGGGTGGGTTGAAACGTGGGAAAGGTGTGTCTTTAAGGGAAGCTGCTTGGAAGGGCGGACGTTGCCTTGAATCGCCAGTGTTTATTTCTTATTTGGGTTTATTGTATCTCTCGTTAAGAGCTGGGGGACAAAAATTGGAATTGAACTTAATGAGGCTTCATACGCAGGTAGCTATGAAATGTACAGCAACATAGCTAAGCAAAATACATTACAATTTAATGTGGGGGCATTGGGGCTGTCTGAATCGCCAGTACTGGTTAAGGGTACAGTTTATGCTGGGTTTGCTAACCAGGATCAGAAATATATAAATTAACTGTGAGCCCAAAGCACTGCATGAAATGAAGTGATTGATGTTTTATCAGATTGTTTTAAATAACTGACGCTCATAAGATTCAGAAAGTTTAAAAATCCAATAAATGGGGTGGGGGGGAACATCCTGGAATTTCCCATATAGGAACTATAACTGAGAATCATGTGGCTAAAAGTAAAACCATGTTCCCCAATGTGGAGACTGCAGCTTCCAGTCATGTGGAGTCCCAGGTTGGTTGGCATAGCCTAACTAAAGCATCTGAGATTGTGAGGTTGGTGAGGCTCTGGTTTAGAGCAAGGGTCTTCAAACTGGGCAAGTTTTCAGACTTGTGGACTTCAACTCCCAGAATTCCTGAGCTAACAGGACGGGAGGAGGAATTCTGGGAGTTGAAGTCCACAAGTCTTAAAGCTGTCAAGTTTGAAGACCTCTGGTTGAGACTCTAAACCAGTGCTTTTCAATTTTTAAGATGTGTGGACTTCATCTCCTAGAATTCCCTGGTCAAGACACTCACATCTGTTTGTTATCCTTCCATAATGGAATGATCTCAGCCAGTGTTTGTCTACCAGCAATAATAGGCTCAATGAGAAATAAATTGGATTGTATTCAAGCCAACTGGAATATTTTTTTTTTGTAAGGGGGCATGATCTGGAAGATGGAAGCCTGCTCCTTTTCCAAAGGAAAAAAAAAAAGTGAACTCAGTGTTTCAAGTTGAGGCTTTTATCAGCTGAGGTTGATTGGGTAGCTCGTCTTTTTCTTAAAAATAACTGATTTTTAAACAGTGATGCATCATAAGGTTTCCTGCAAAATGCAATGTTGCAATGTGTGCTATATATGAAATATGTGGTGTACATGAAGTATGTGTGATATTTGTTTATAATCCTATAAATAAAATTTTCTGCCACCTTACTGAAAATTACATGGTATGTGTGTACACACACACATGTACACACATACACACATATCTGGATGTAATTTTCAGTAAGAAAAAAATGTTTATAGGTTTATTTAGGAAAAAAAGGTGATTTGTCTGTTCTTAAATAGTTACACTGATTTCCTGCAGATTTCCAGATAAAATACTGTATAAAGCATTGGCTGTCCTCTTAGATACTTAAATTAGTTTAATTTTATTTAAGAGAAGAAAGATCATTTTTATATAATCTCCACTGCTCATTGCAATAACAGGAAAGTAAGCTATTTCTCTATGTCAATGTTTCTTAAATGTTTTTTCTTTCAGGATTCTTTCCCATTTTTAAAATTATGGAGAACCCCAAAAGAGCATTTATTTGTATGGGTTATATTTATTGATATTTACTATATTAAAAAAAACTAACTCTATACCCATACTTTGCTACGAAACTATGTGATCGGGCTTCGTTTTGGGGGAGGAAAATAAGGGGGGGGGGAAATTGTGCCTCTGCCTACCAGCATCCATCAGTATTCATCTGGCTAGCATCCTGTCAGTGTGAGAGAGTTGAGGGTTGTTTGGAAACTGAAACAGTATTTGCTGTGTGAGCAAGGAGACAGCAAGGAGCCTGGGTGTGGCTTAGCTCAACTGTTCTGTACTAAAGCTGGTTGCTGCTGTGAAAATAAAATGGAAACTGAAACTCCTTTCCTCTGCTTGTGTTTTGCATTTGGAAGAGATTTCTTTTCAGGTGGGAAAGGGGAGTAGAACTCCTTAGCATCAGAGCGTGTTAATAATAATATACAAAATACTAATGCTCTGGTGGTCATGTTGAAAAATCCTTTCCTAGTGAGCACCTAGAAGCCAAGAGGAATATATGTGCCAATTTTCAAGTTTATAGGCTTTACAGTTCTGGAGATTTTGTGATGATGCATGAGTGGTATTTTGCATATATATGTATGTATGTATGTATGTGTGTATATATATATATATATATATATATATATATATATTAAAATTGATGCATTCATTGTTGTTACAGCTTCTCACGATTGTTTGATAGGATTTTAATATTGTATTATCTTTCAACATAGGCTGGCAAATAATTTTGATTTCATGGACCACTGAGAGGATCTTGGAATGCCAGGATCACCCTTTAAGAGACACTGCTTTATGTAATCCTTCTCAGATAGTGGAATTACCTGGAAATATACTCCTGAGTGCCATCAACTCACCAGATTGTGACTTGTGGTACATCTTCTGTCATCGAAGAGTCATTTGGTCTAGGGGTCTCCTGCTTAAGCAAAGGGTTTGACTAGAAGACCTCCAAGGTACCTTCCAATTCTGTTATTCTCAGTCATTGCCTTTAGGGTTATAGGGCATTTTTCCTTAATCAGGAGTCTAGCTTCTTTGGAGTCGTGCAAAAAGGCCTTCAATTGTAATAGATTTAATTAATTTTCACATGAATATTTTGTTCATTTGATAGTGAAATTTTGTTTTAATAATGTGTTTAAATAGTCATGAGTAGAATTCAAATTATTATTGCTCAGTGTATTTGTACATTTTGAAGGACCTTGAAGTGAGACCATGGACAAGAGGAAAGATTCAAACAAGCACCTGGACCCCCCTGCTGTGTTCCAGATTACAAGGCCAACTGGTAAAGAATCAGCAAATTCTTTCTTAGAGATAACCTAACCATGAGTTATTGCTATGGTTGCAACTTCTAAGCTAGCCTACTTAATGGATTATGTGTGTTCTGTAGAAATGTACCTGAAATCCACTAAGTAAATTTTCTAGATTATTTCCTGAGACTATCTACAAAGAGCATAACTTGCCAATTGTTAAATTATGAGACTAATCCAGTTCTGGTTGCAGTTTAAAATGGTGCCTATAAAGCCTTTACAAAATCAATTTGGCATAGTTGTTGAGGCACCAAGCTAGAAAATAGGAGACTGGGAATTCTAGTCCTCCTTTAGGCCCAAAGCCAGCTAAGCAACCTTAAGCTAGCCATTGCCTCTCAGCCCTAGGAGGCAGGCAATAACAAACTGCTATTGAAATCTTACCAAGAAAACTGCGGGACATGTCCAAGAAGTCACCAGAAGTCAATATTGACTTGACGATGTGTTTGTGCGCATACACAGACACGCACACCATACCCTTTAAGAAAACAGTCCTATCTCTGACCTCTGAAGATTTTCTGCTACAGTGTGAGAAATTGATCAGGTGGCCAGAAGAGCAAAGAGATATTTGTGTTTTCCATTTCTTTCCTGATTTCTTTCATCAAATAATTTTCTTTCCTTAAACTAGCACAACTGTTGTCTGTGTAAAACTTAAGATCCCCGTTCTGTGCTTTCATGAACAACTAATGGTTTTTTATCTGGTGTGAGCCTGGCTTAGCATTACATATCCAAATAGAAAATCATGGTCTTAGGTCTTTTCTGTGTTTTTTCCCCTCCTTAGGATTTACAGAATTGATTCCACCTTCACATTTCCAGAGCCAATCAGCACCACCTCCAATAGTATCTACTACTGGGCTCTTGGGGGCCGCAGCTTACCCTAACTGGGAGGAGATTGCTGAACTCCGACGAGAGAATTTGCGTTTGAAAGATGAACTCCAAAGATGGAATACAAAAGTAGATACGACAGAAGACCCAAAAGATAAAACCAGGTGAACAATTCTGTATTTTATTCATTTTCTCTGAACTTTGTTAATTCTGTGTTGAGCTGGGAGAGGAAACTATTAAGAAGCACATTGCTTTGAACTGTTTCTTAGCTAAAACGATGGAGAGCGGCACCTTCATTTTTCTCTAGTTTTGTTCTCTTTCCTTTGGACCCTATACAGGTAGTCCTCCACTTACTACCAAAATAGAGCTCAAAATTTCTGTTGCTAGGACAGCTGTTAAGTGGGGTATGCCCCATTTTACGACCTTTCTTGTCACAGTTGTTAAGTGAATCGCTGCAGTTAAATGAGTAATATGGTTGTTAAGTGAATCTGGCTTCCCCGTTGACTTTGTGAGAAGGACACAAAAGGTGATCACGTGACCCCAGGACACTGCAACTGTCATAAATACATGCCAGTTTCCAAGCATCTTGAGTTTTGATCACATGAACATGGGGCTGTGGGCAATGGATGTAAGTATGAAGAAAGAAAGAAAAAAACGGTTGTAAGTCACTTTTTTCAGTGCCATTGTAACTTTGAATGGCCACTAAACGAATGTAAAGTTGTGGACTACCTGTACAGAAGATCAAACCACTTATGGTCTCTTTGACTCGTGGCTTTTAGCGGGGAAATATTATGTATTCTGTTTCTGTTATTGAGTGAGCAGTTCCTAGAATTGTCCTTCCTAATGTAGAAAACAGATAATCAGAGTTGGAAGGGACCTTGTAGGTCATCTAGTCCAAACCCCCCCCCCGCCGCCCAAGCGAGAGACCCTACACCATTTCTGCAAATGTCAGTCCAATCTCTTCTTGAAAGTCTCAAGTGATGATGCTCCCACAACTTCCCAGGACAAGCTGTTCCATTGGTTGATTGTTCTGTCAGAAAGTTTCTCCTTATTTCCAGGTTAAATCTCTCCTTGTTCAGTTTCCATCCATTATTCCTTGTCTGGCCTATAGGAGCTTTAGAAAATAGCTTGACCCCCTCCTCCCTGTGGCAGCCCCTCAAATATTGGAAGACTGCTATCCTGTCTCCCCTGGTCCCTCTCTTCACTAGACTAGCCAGGCCCAGTTCCTGTAACCATTCTTCATATGTTTTAGTCTCCAGTCCCCTAATCATCCTGGTTGCTCTTCTCGGTACTTTTTGTAGAGTCTCAACATCTTTTTTATAATGTGGTTACCAAAACTGGATGCAGTACTCTAGGATTTATAGAGTGGTATTAGTACCTCACTTGATCTCAATTGTATCCCTCTGTTAATGCAACTTAGGATAGCATTAGCTTTTTTGGCTGCTGCTGCACACTGCTGGCTCCTATTTAGCTGGTTGTCCGCTAAGACTCCAAGATCCCTCTCACAGTTACTCTCACAGATGCCCTTCAGATTGTATGGACATCCAATACCTGGATTCACGGCAATAGTTATGCCGGCTGGACAATTCTATGAACTGAAGCTCACAAATCTGGAAGGTTGCAATCCAGATGGAGAAGTCTGCCTAGAGCAGGCGTGTCAAACTCAACACCTGTGGGCTGGATGCGGCCCACAGGGTGCTTAGATCTGGCCCGTGAGGCCTCCCTGGAAACAGCAAAGGACCAGCCCATAGGCTGAAGGAAGGGAGGGAGGAAGGGAAGGAAGGAAGAGAAGGAAGGAAGATAGATAGATTATATTGAGAGGGAGGGAGGGTCTGAGGAAAATCCTGCCTTAGCACTTGGCCACCACAAGTGCCCCTGACACAAATGATGTCGAGTTGGCCATGCCCAGCCCGGCTACCCTCCCCTGCTCCCCCCCCCCAGTCAAACACAACCCTGATGCAGTTCTCAGTGAAATAGAGTTTGACACTCCTGGCCTAGAGCATTCTCCCTTGAGATAGGAGAACATCCTGACATCTTCCTCTCTTCTATTCAAGGTCCTTGGATAGGTTGGCTGAGCCTTCAAATGTGACCCTGGCAATGTCTCAACAGGCTGAAATCATCGCCCATCAGCTCCACGAGATCCAGCGGTTGGAGTCAGAAGTTAGTGCCCTCCGAGTGTCCTCTGCCCAACAGGAGGCAACCATAGCTGCTCGGGAAAGTACCCTGTCCAATCTCCAAGGAGAACTAACCTTCCTCAAAAGCCAGAACCTTACTGAAGTTGCTCTCCTGAAGACCCAACTGGAAGAAGTCAGGAAAAGTAGTCAGCAAGAGAAAGAGGCCCTAAGGAATGAATTAGAAGAGCTCAGGAAGCAAAATCAGTTGAAAACAGATTTCCTGAGGGAGGAACTGGAGTCAACCAAGGAAAGGAGCAACCATGAAATCACCCTGGCCCAGGGAGAGCTGCAGCAGATGAGGGAAGAGAGAGAGGTGGAGCGGAGGAGGCAGGAGGCCATGGTTCAAGAATGCCGACAGTCAGTGCTGAAAGAGTACCAAACAAAGGTAACTGCAGAATGAAAAATAGCAATAGCATTTAGACTTATAGGCCACTTCACAGTGCTTTACAGCTCTCTCTAAGCCAGGGGTCTCCAACCTTGGCCACTTTAAGACTTGTGGACTTCAACTCCCAGAATTCCTCAGCCAGCTTTGATGGCTGAAGAATTCTGGGAGTTGAAGTCAACAAGTCTTAAAGTGGCCAAGGTTGGAGACCCGTGCTCTAAACGGTTTTACAGAGTCAGCCTATTGCCCCCAACAATCTGGGTCCTCATTTTACCCACCTTGGAAGGATGGAAGGCTGAGGCAACCTTAAGACCTTTCAGGATCGAACTCCTGGCAGTTGGCAGAGTTGGCCTGCAATACTGCATTCTAACCACGGCTCTCAACAAAACATGTTGAGAAATGATATTTTTTTTTTAGAAAAGGCATCAAATAAAATAAGTTGCAAAGCTCTCTGGAAAAAAAAGCATTGGAGAGCAGTTACAACAGTTTGTTACAACAGACTGCTGTAACTGCTTACAACAGTTTACGACTTACAACAGTTTGTTTAATGACCATTCAGAGTTACAGTGGCACTGGAAAAAAAAGTGACTTAAGACCATTTTTCCATACTTAACAACTGTTATAGCATCAACGTTGATCGAAATTCACGGTCTCGTTATCAAAATTCAGACGTTTGGCAACTGACTCATATTTACGATGGTTGCAGTGCCTCAGGGTCATGTGATCTCCTTTTGCAACCTTCTGACAAGAAAAGTCAATGGGGAAGCCACATTCACTTAACAGCCATGTTACTAACTTAACAACTGCAGTGATTCACTTTAACCACTGTGGCAAGACAGGTCACAAAATGGGGCAAAAGTCACTTCACAACTGTCTCACTTAGCAACAGAAATTTTGGGCTCCATTGGTAGCCGTAACTCGAGGACTCCCTGTAATTTCAAATAGAGTAATAGAAGTGAGCTTATGTACCAAGTCTACCAGCATCTCTTTTTCCTCCCACAGTTGGATAAGCTATCTGAAGTCTATGAAGCTGAGGCGACTTCCTTGAAGCATCAGATATGTGCATTCCAGCAGGATTTGGAAGCTCAGCGTAAGGAAGCCAGTCAGTTAAGAGAGAAAAAAGATACGCTCCAGAACCAACTCAGGTTGCTTTATTTTTTCTTCACTGCCTCTTCTCACAATTTTCCTTCCCTGGTACAGAGATCTTATTCAAGGTAGTCCCTGGTTTCTCTCTTCCAGTGTGACTGAGGCAGAACTGGCTTCCCAGAATGCTTTGGTGCTGCAGTTTAAGACCTACGTGGGGGAGCAGAAGTCAAATAAACCTGGTTTTGAACAGGAGCGGCTGATAAATCAAATACAGGTGAGACTATAAGGGCGACTGGTTTGGTCCTCTGACCCATCTGGTCTAGCGGTCTGCTCTTTTGATCAGCTCCACTAGGAAGCCCCTTAGGATTAGCTGCACTAGGAAGCAGATGGCCTTCGTGTCAGCCCTGAAGCCATTTTCCCCTGGCACCTTCAGGGCTGCTG